CTCCTTCAGTGATGTGAGACTCGGGGAGAGCATCGGTTGCCAAAGGCTTTAGTTGTTACATGCATCCAATAATCTTCTTCTCCAAAATGGATTTTAGTCAGAGCAATTTATTTGGATACATAGAAGACCTGCAGGAGCTAACTATTATAGAGAGGCCAGTACGCAGGAGCCTGAAGGTATATACTTCAAAATAGAACGATGCTTTAAAATCCACTTGAAATTGTGTCTGTTTTATTTATGCACAGCTAACTGAATAGGCAGCTTATTTTTTATGGCACCAGGATACTAAAAATTGTTTTCAGTCATTTTGGAATAAACAATCTCGAATTCTATATAGCAGGGACTTAATATTTTCAGTATAAGAAATTTAAGCTGGAAAATACAGACTAGCTTAGGTCTTTAGATTAATTTATATGTGACTTGCTTATACTTTAAGTGATTAATAGTGATAGTGTCTGACATGGAACTGTACTTCTATTGCATCCCATCTTTTCCTGGCGAAAGATTTATTTGATTGAATTTGAAATGTTGGCTAGAGATTTCAAGGATTAGATTCAAATTACTCATGGAGCTATCCCTGGATGTGGGGAGGAAGGGGTTGTTTTACAAAGATTAAAATTAGGAAATAGTAAGGCATTGTAAACTCATAATCTCTATTTCACGCTTGACAGACACCAGAAGAAATAGAAAGATTGACAGTTGATGAAGAACTCAGTGATATTGAAAGGGCTGTTTATCTACTCAGGTATTTCCTAAAATATTACTGTGAAACATCGTGCTTACATATAGCTTTTTTAGTGCTTTACTCTTCACTCCTTTTATTTTCTTTCAGTAGTAGTTTTTTACTTTCTGCTACGTTAAACGCATAGACAAGATAAAAATAGGTACTGTAATTTTTTTTTAAAAATGCCTAGAATAGGATGTCTGTGTACATGTATAAACATTTCTTTTCTGAGATTCTAATATGGCCCTCACCAACACTGAGTTGGACTTCATCTTCTTTCCCCCTGCAGTTGATTTTCCAAGATTCCCTGAGTGTTAACATTAATAACACCAATCATTCAGTGACTTCATATTCACTCTAAGGCATGAGCAGTTACCACAGACTGATAACAGAGCTGTTTGAGCATACTGTATACCTCTGGGCTTTCAGAAAAGGAAACTTGAGAGATTAGTTTTATAGTCCTTAGGAAATACTGTAGAAGATACTATATTAATACTTCCCTGTGTTCTGGTTTTTACCTCCTTGTTCTTTAAAGTATTTATTTGCAGCTACTTGAATAACTTAAATTTCGATAGTTTAAAATACAGATCTTTCAACTACTGTGTAAGTCCTCTTTGAGAGTACAAATGTTCGGAGGGATTTTGATTTGAATATGCATTTTTAAACAATACCTAGTAATTGGAGAACCAGCTGCAGCTCCCTCTGCTTATTCTGCTATTTTAAGTGCTCTTCTAGTCTATGCCTGTCCTCAATGTTTAGAGTACATACTCTCAGTGCCTTGATTTTCTCTTTTTGGGGCGCGTGGCATTATTTTTAGGTAAGCATATTTGTCCACTGATACTACTTTTGATACCAAATTTTGTTGTTTTTTTTTTTAATGCTGAACTTTATTAAATAGTGGATTTTAAAACTTGCTTTTCTAATAGTTCCCGTAATCAAAGCAGTCTGTTGACTCTAGGGAAATTCAGAGGAAACAGTTTGCATGTGGTGCATATTATTGCAATGGATGCATATCAATTTTGGTTTTTACCTCACAGCAATCAGCATAGTTGACTCGTGGTTTTGTTGGTGTTTTTTTTTCTTTTTTCCCTGTGTGGCAGCAAATTTCTTTGCTCTTTTCCCCATTAAAGATCATGTTTCCAGCAATATGTCTTTACTGGATCATTGCCTTGTTAAAGGGTAAAAGGTTCCATTTAGTATCTTTCATCTTACTAATTGCTTTTCAACCTGGCCTTGAACTTCTCCTGACATCTTCATCTGCTTTCTCTCTACTTGAGCAGCTGTTCTGGGAACATAACATTGTTTTCCTTGTGATGAAGTTTTCATTTTTGGCTCTGCATTGTCCTCATTGCTGAAAGGTAGCTTCATCTCTGCTTGATAGGCTTTTCGTAAGGCAATCACTTGCTGTGATTGTCCAGGTGTGTTAATACAATAATCCAGTGGAAGCTTTTGCTGTTCAATAGTATATTGCATTCCCTGTACTGAGTGGAGTATAAGCAAACAGAGTTGAAAAACTGCCTGTAACACAGGTAGTATCCTTTATATAATGTACAAAGGTATGTACTTTTGGCTTATCTGGTGTTTTTTAATCTATAATAATACAATACCCCTGCCTGTTCCTGTTTGACAATAACGTCAGTCTGGTCTTTTCATGCCTCATTTTCTCACACAGATGCATTATTTCCTGTCCTTCAGTTTGTCCCTTATGTGGCACTCTCCTTGATGTTATCCAAAAAGACACTGCCTTTTCTGAAAATCCCACTGTAAAAATTGATTTGGTGAGATTGAAATGAGTTGTTAATGATGTCTGTGTCTTGTGCTCCAGTTGGAAAGGATGATGCTATCTCCATATACATTAAAAAAAAAAAGCAAGAACAATAATAGAAGGCGAATCTCTTATCTTAAATATCTACAAATAGTATCAAAATACTTAATGTTGTTTCAGTCTTATATTGTCACTTATTTATGTAACCCTAATCTGCAAGTTGGAGATTTTTAATTTACTGAGGAGGATATCTTTAGCGTTGCTTGTACAGTACAATGGAGCTGACTAATACTGAGTGAAACCTTTGTATGATACAGCAAAGCTAATGTTTAGTAATTATTTTCTGTGAGAGTCCAAAAAGAGTCCTCACATTTTAATGGCTTTCATTCTGAACAAAAAAGCCCAAACACTTTCTTCTCTTTTTGCATTCTCCTTTCCCTCCAAAACCTGCCCCCAACTTCTCCTCCCCACCCTTGAACTTGGATACTCTGGTCTGTTTATATGTGGAGTTGTTGTATATTTAGTAGATACTTGCTTTTTCTAGATTTCTGCTTCTGAAGTCTTTACTATTGTAGTCTGAAAACACGTACATTGACATCCTAGTTGGAGAGAATAGTACAGCCTTCTACTGTCTGACTTTTTGTGCCTGAATAGTGTTTTTTGTTTGTTTTGTTTTGGGGTTTTTTTCTTTTTTTTCTGTGACTGATTCTTGCTATACTGTCTATATGAGGAGGTATTAATTTCCCAACTCTCATCAGTTTCATCAGTTCATTCTTTTTTCCTCTTGTATTACTTCTTATTTGCCAGTAATACCATGGGATTTCTGGCATGCTCTTTTACTTCTTGGTATTGTAAAGTTATTGGTTTTGCTCATCTAGTATGTATTCGTATCCATCTGATGATTATTTTGCATTTCTGCAATGTCTTGTCTGTCTGTATCTAGTCATGATGTATTGTCACAGGTTTTGTAAATTTCTGTTCACTGTCTTCTCATAAGTATGACACAAATATGTCTACAAATGTTCTTAGCACATGGCGAGTACATTGACACATTAATCCTGTTTGAAACCTCACTTTCACAGGAATGTGGCTTCATTTTAGTTGCTTTTCTATTGTTACCTATCATAGTTTGGTTTTACATTCTAAAGTGCTAATTGTAATTTTGATAATCCTAACAAGTTTTTTTATATATATATTTAATTATTATTTTTAGGGGATGACTTTGCTTTCAGTATCCCCTTTTCTGCCAGTAGTATTCTTCAGATAACTATGTAATGAGGTAGATTGACAAGATGATCTAGCTAAGGCTGATCATTTTCAGTCAGATTAGTTCTCAGCTAAATCAACTCCTTGATTTGGCTCATCATGTGGATATAGAAACAGTAGTGCAAGCAAAAGGAAAGGACTCAGTAGCTCTCCTGGTGGCCAGAGTCGCTTTAATATGACATAAGCATGGGTGAACTTCAGCTTTCGATCATTGTTGCCCGGAGTACTCAGTTTTAATTAGATAACATTCTGCAATTAGAGTGAGCAAGTTCTAATTTAATAAGAATGCAGTAGCAAATTGGACTGTCATTTGTCGTAATCTCAATTAACCTCGATTCTGGTTGAAGAACTGGCTTTCTTAGACCAGATTGTCAGGGATGTTTATGAACTTGCCATGGAAGTCAAATGGATTCAGGTACCTAAAGAGGGAGAGGTATCTGAGTGTCTAGGATCTATGTTTTAGAGCTTCGGCCCGAGTGCTTGGGGGTTTCTGGAGGGTCTAACTGGAATCACTGAAGAGTTGTATTCTGACTGTATTTTGGATGTTGCTGGCCCAACAGAATAACAAGGAGAGCAAAATAGCTATGTGCATCTCAACCATGTCGGTGTCAAGATTGATGGCTTATTGTAAAACCATCAACAGATTAAGACAAGCTGCCAGACTTTGCACTGAGGCAACTGAATAGTTTGCATTCCACTTCAGGGCATCGTGACCTCTACCAGGACAGTGGCAATAAGCAGCTCAGGGACAGTAATTTTTATTCCTGCTATGGACTCTTGCCAGTAGTCTTAGTTTCCATATTTGCTGATGTTTGATGTTATTACGTATTTTTATTTGTCTTACTGTAGCTCACCCTTTTATGGCATGCAGCCGATAGCAAAATACATATTCTTTGCCTGATGTGGATCTGGTTTGGATACAAGGATGCTTACTGGCATGCACACTGTAGCGTGGTTTGTTTTCTGAGGACTTTTCTGATAGACTTCCTTAGGGGTTTTACATTGTTGTGTGTACTGTATTATTTTGTATTCAGCTACTCTTTGTTTATTTGTGCCTGCTTAGTGTTAAAGCTTCCAGGCCTTGACGTTTCTGTCATACTCAAAATAACAGGGTAGTAATGAGTTACCAAGGTGGAAGATTGAATTATTCACCCTTTTGGGAACATACTGTACTTTGGTTTTGGAGTGATCCTATCAGTTTAGGAAACAACAAAACCCCCCTACAAAACATTTAGCACAGTTTTTGAAGACACAATAGATACTTTATCTAGATTGGAAAGAATTCAATGCCTGTAAACTTAGCATGTCTTAAAAAAAAGAAAAAGTTGTACTTTATTGTAGCCATCTTTGATTAGCTAGAGTATTCTCAAATACTAAACAGCTTTTTATACAGTATATGCTGTTAATTGTGAGTGTCAAAACCACTACTATTTAAAAGATTTTTTTTTTAAATTTTTTATTTTCCTTTTAGTTTTTTAGTCTTCATCATGTTTTGGAGATTTTCTTTTCTCTGTAGGTGCAGGTTACTCACCTTTGAATTTAAATGAAAGCTTTCATTTAAATGTAACTTCAGGAGCTGATTTTCTAATATAAACATTGTGTCAAATTTTTTTTTGTTACATAATTTTTTTTTTGTTGAGAACTGGCTACTCTATTCTGATTATATAGCTTCTGAATTTATGATCCTGATGCATACATAGTATACTGCAAGATCCAGCTGTCATGCTAAGCACGTTGGAAAATAATTCTTCCAACTATACTGGCAAGCTGTAAATACTAACATAAAAAGTATTTCTTCAGTCTTTTTTTTTTTTTTTTCCTGGGCATAAATTTAATAGTGTCTTTTATTTTTTAAATTACAAATTAAATTTTATAAAAGTTTCATTCCTGATTCACTTAGTTGAATGGATTAGTTGCTTGACCTTGACTTTGTTATGCAAATAAATTAATGTATATGAAATTGATTCTTTCACGTTAAAGTGAAAGGTGT